TGCTTTCAAACAAGAAGCTTGGCAACTAATATTTGTCTGCTATTTGAGATGCACAACATGAAAACATCGTGATTCACATTATTAAAATTTATAATACATACAGAAAATTTGATTTCAGTACAATTAATTCCAGAGCACCTCTGTGATGAATTTTATTTAAATCTGATTTTTTTAGATATCAGAAATACAGTGTAGGCTAAGAGTAGATAATCAATATGCATGTTTTTCAGCATTAAACGAATCAAGTCTGGGTATTACCCCAATGAACCAAATGAAATATTATACAAAATAATCAATTATTATGCATAGATTTAGGTCTGTATATTGTTTCATGGCACACTAAATTAGTGGAAAGCTGAAATGTTAATTATTATGCAAATTAGGTAATTATTATGGATGTATATAAACCCAAAACTAATTAGATCGTCACATTGTATTGTCACAGACCATCAAAGTACAAAGTTTCATTGAAATGTGATTAGAACCAAAAAATTATGAATTATTATGCAAATTCGATAATTAATATGATCTGATTCTAACCAGAAACTGAGCAGGTCTGTGCATTGTTCTAGAGCATCTATGTACTAAAATGACTATGTAAACGTGTTCAGCTTAGGCCATGTTTGACTCCAATAAACCCTTGGCTTATTGATAGAGCTGTAACAGTGCTTAAGATATTACAGTTATAAGATATGTACAGATTCCAACTAAAAACTAAGTAGGTCTGCACATTTCCCCCAGACACCTATGCATTATGTTCCAAGTTACATTGAAATGCAATGACTGGTTTTTCAGATTTCAATTGAAAACCAAAAAAGTGGCTAAACATTATGCAAATTAGTTCATTAGTATTCATGATTTTCAACCCAAAACTAATCAGGTTAGTGCATAATGCACATAAATCTAAGTTTCAATGAAATGTGATGCTTCAGATACCAGTAGAAAAGCTGGAAATTTACTAATTATAATAAATATGCACAGATTTTAATCCAAAACTAATCAAGACATAGACATAGACATGTCCATGGTACATACATACATATTGTTCCCTCAATTGAAATGAAGAGCTACATGTATAAGAAATCAAATAAAATGTTTAATATCACAGCTGCTTGTTCACAAATTTTCTTCAAGTTTGTCTCATGTTTGTACCTGAAACATGTCATGTTACATGTTGAATGTTACACTGGCGAACACTAAAAATGACAAGGACATGCCAATTGTCTGATGAAAGATAAGTAAATCGACTATGATTGGCTGGCTTACACAAAGTTCCATTCATTACGAGCACCAGATTTGGGCTGGTACAACTGACACTGCCAAATTTGTGTAGTCTGTGTCCCTGTGTATAGTAATAAATACCATTGACGGTGGTATAACAAACTGGAATGGCAACTATATATACACGAGGGACAAAGACTGAAAATCGAAAATGCCTGCTACAATTAACATCAAACATAAACAAACTTTACTCAAGATCAATCATCTTGCTACCCAAAACAGACAGTTTTTGTTACTACATGTATTTATTTAATTAATATACATGCCACAAAATTACTTGTTGTAGCAATTTTGATAAATTATAAAATATTATGAATAGGTGAATGAAAGGGAAGACCGTTACCTGATTTGTCACCATAGACTGGTTGGGTTTATTCATTTATTCATTTATATATTTATTTATTGGTCTTGCATATTTACATATCGGTCATAATAAAATAATTATTTGATCATAAAGTGACTCTGACATGGACGCAAAAAATTGTCGTCGTCACCATGTATAAAATATAAAACTACAGTACACCGAGTACCGGTACTCTTAGACCAGTTCGATGTTTACAACAAAATATACAAATGAACATGTGTCAAACACTGTACTTTCGTTGCACTCACCAGTCGATCTTTATCCAAAACGAAGACGCTCACAGTTTTATCAAATGAACCCGATGCAAGCTTCCTCCCATCACAACTCCACGCAACCGAGTGAACCTTCGAAGCATGTGCAGTGTATTCCTGGGTCTTTCCAAAATTTTGGAAGTGCTTGTGCATCTCTTCTACGTAGGTCGCCATTTTGATTATGCAAATACGCCCTCTCTGGCATAGTTAGTTACTTCTGTTGTTTTGTTCAGAAACGTTGAGTGCGCACACACATATATACTCGTACTGGTATATGTAAAATTATGAAGCCCCGATCTCTGTCATGGATTGTCTTTATAATATTCCCTGTAGCGCAATATTCGAGTATATTGTCAATGAGTATTCATCGACAAATTCATCGTGGTCTTATCTTGTCCTGTAATGTTATTATTATATAACTTTATTTCTGATTTTTAAAAAATAGAAAGAAAAAAACATGATAAAAAGACAAAAGAAGAAATTAAAATATCCTGCTGCTCCGTATTTCCCCATGCTGACATGGTTAATGCCGCTGTATAAGTGGGTTAACGGATAAGTGGAAGCGGGAAAGAAAACTAAGTTCATTTTATTCTTAAAGTGTGGTGGTCGTCGCGCCGCTCATGTGTGACACAATGCAATCCAATGCGCTCTTCTCTTCTTCTTTTTTATTTATATGTATTTACTACCTGTGCAACTTCTACCTTTACCGTTGTTTTTGTGTTTTTTTGGTGAAATAAATTCATTCAATGAAAATCACAAGTACGTGTTTTGACCAAGGCACAACATACACTATTTACTGCCGGTGACTCATTCGATACCTTCCAATCACCAAAGAAATTACATAGTTAAAACTTAATAACGTCTCACTTTGTACTCAACAGTCAAAGTCGCCATTTTTTTTCATTGCGTGGCGCGACGACCACCGCCCTTCAAAATGTTATCAAACGTTGTAATGAATAAATTGACAAACATCAAACTATTACTTTGTAAGAATGAACAGAATAATTTCCGGAAAATCTGAGAAAAAGCTCTGCGTAGGATTCATGGTTAAATTACAGTATGGAGCAAGCATCACACGAAATTACATTATAAGTTTTGTGCTAAACCGCGCCCAACACACCTATAAATTGTGCCATCTAGCGACGAAGAGTGGATATTGCTTTGATCTGCTCGGGAATATTTCCATCTATTTTCTTTTTTACCAAAGCGGATTTAGAGCGTCTGTCCCTTGTCATGTGCTAGGATAGTACATTACGAATGACTTGTGCGATAAATTACAGAAAAAAAAAAACCTACCGAACCAAACGTTTATTCACGATTGGGGGCATTGCCGGGTGCTGAATCACACTATGTACGTATGAGTCAATGTGTTACAAATTAACATGTTTCTTTATTAGTGATAAATCCTAGAAACACCTCGTTGGCACATTAGTTAGCAACAGAATTGAAATGAATAAAAGATAAGAAATGACTCACCCATGGGTTTTTTCTAGGCTTTTTAATTTTTATGACTCGAAACGCGTGTTTCCTATATGACATCATCTTTCCGAAAGTATACACACAGTATGAATATTTTTAGTATTTTTATTACTATTATTATTATTATTCAAATTCCTTTACCTTCATTTCATAAATCCTTTATCCGCCCTCGTTTTAGCACCATGTTCCGTGCAGATATAAAACAATAAAGTTTTCGAGAAATTTACGTACGACTACAAAGTTACACACAGTTTTTGCTTTGAACGATATTGGTTGTTTCCCGCCTAAATGTTAAGTAAATGAACGATATTGCTTCACTGGTTCCTGACGTCCTCTGCACAAGGACCATGAATTAGCGAACGATATTCCCGAGGCTGTGACTCATCTACGTCAGTTTGACGAAACGGGTACATTTTGTCTCTACGGCGCTCCACTTATAAGAACTGTGTTAAGGTAGAATCCTATTCATAATTATTGACAAATTTGGTCATAAATCGCATGACAATGTTTATTGGTATATTATGTAAAATCATGGAGCTATAATCCAATGGCACCATGAAATAACATTCCTTTGTGTGTTACAGTGACGTATTTTGAGAAACTTGTCATATTATTGTCCACAAAAAACACTATTTTTTTAGAACAATTACATAGAGCACAGTGGTAAAGAAAAAATGCATTTTTGACACTTTTCAAAATTTAACCAGATTTTTGAAATAATTAAAGACAACACCAAGTATCCAATCATTCACAATATATATTTTTTTCAGCCTATGTCACCAGGCTACAATTTTAGGTATATCTCTTCCATAGGAACCTACGGTAAAAGCATTATAATACTGACAAAACGGCCAATATCCGCTAAAATACAACCATCCTTTTCTCAAAAATTAGACTGGTGACCTCAAACTTTTTTGAAGTCAATATTATTATATTGCCTCGAAGTACAATTTATTGGAAAATGAATAAATTCTGAGTATCTGCAATCATCAGGAGGCTTCTACCTTAATTCTTAGTTTTATTATTAGTTCAATGTAATGCTTGGATTCACAAGTCGTCAGGGTACATCGTCGTTTACAACATCTCTTTCGGCGACTCCTAATTGCGCCGGCCGTTATTTAGTTTGTTCCACGGAAAAACATACTTATGAGAATGAAATTGTGGTTTGCAACTTATTACCACATGCCATATAAACCAAAACACCCCAGAAGTAACCATACTATACGTGAGAGGGTGAATCAATTTTCATGTTTTTTAATCTTAATGTCTGAATAACAGTTTCCCACTCAATTTGGCAATTATCTAAAATAAATTAATAAAAATATCAATTGCGTGTTTTACCCACTGATTATTTACAAGCCCGTTTTGATTAGATTTGCTTACGAAAGTCAGTCAACAAAGTTTGAGCACCTTTTCCCCGTGATAAAGTTTCACACGCCGGTCTGCTCACTTTAATGTCCAATCCATCACACTGGACCACGGCCATCTGCCGGTGATAAGAATCCCAAACTTTTCCGGTTCCAATCCCATTGGTGAAAGTTTCAACAATTCAAACGTGTTATGTTCTACCATGGCCTGTAGCCCACTCGATCGCCGTTTCCTCAATTCCTCTTCAACAAAATCAAACCAATACCGAGACTCCTGCGTGCATTCCCCGGGGAACTTGGTGATATAGTTCACAATCACCCACACTTGTGAATCGCAGGCCGCATCTAAGAAATCCAAGAACAATTTCACTGACTGTTTCTTATGAATTAATTTCTGGATACCGGGAATTAAAGTTTCTAAACCTACTTCTAAAGTGCTCAATCCCATAGATTCCAAGTACTGTAAAAACTCACTGTCGTAACGTGTACACAGTTTAGTGCATCCACTCCATTTTACACGGCCCCGAATAAACCTCGCCAGTTCCTTTATGCGGATTGGTGTTAACAACGAGTCCTTCGCGGAAAGGTACGCACCTGCTGCCACGGCTTGGTCAATGCTGCTTTCTAACCAATCTAATGTTAACTTCGTATACTTTCCTTCGATCTTAGGGTATGTACAATACTGGCATTTGGCATAAGAGCATCCTCTCGTTGTCTGAATGGGAAGTGTCAATCGTGGTATTCCGTACATGTGAAGATCGTTAAACATCACTGAAGTGTCTTGTTTGCTTTTCCCCATAGTCACCCGGCCACATCCTGCTTTCATAACCTCGACTGGAAGCTCGGAGTCATTTGCCAACGAGTCTAATATGTCTAAGAACGTCTGTTCCGCATATCCAAAGACAAATCCATCGATGTATTTGCCGTATATGACATGGTTCACGATGTCTTGGCGCAGTGCAGTGACATGAGGTCCACCCCATATCACAGGGACGCTCTTCCATATCTTCTTAGCTAACATACTTAATGCTAGTCCATACAGAACCTGACCATCGAACAAAACAGACAGGCAAACAGCTTGCGGGGCTTGCTCCATTATCCAACTATCTACTAGAGACGTTTTGATCCACTCACCCTCGTCGGATCTCACTATTGACTTCGACAGCTGATACACGTCCTCATGCGAAAGTTTTAGTTTGGATATTCTGTCACGTAGTTCTGCATTCGATAAATGCGACTCCAGCTTTGCGTTTACTGAAGCACCAAGCTTTGTCAAGACATCGTCGCTTGGTTTGTCGTGATCACCAACAAATCCCAAACTTTGAAACGCGACGGTGCTTGGGAGCATGTCACGAATTTTCTTGATATTCATATCTAGAAGGACTACGTGGTGATTGGTTGATCTCGCCGTGCTCTGTAGAAGGGAGGGTCCCAACAATGGGCCTGCGGCGTATTTCATAAATGGCGGTACAACAAGCAAAACTCGCGCCATGGTTCTTAAAAAAATACACAGAAACAAATTAAAATTAGTGTTTAGTTTGAACTTTAAAAACGAGATGCGTTATCGTATCCATGAATACGTGTAATTAATAATCATCGACAGGTGGTTTCAGTGTTAGTTTGAACGAGATTTTGACGAGACCATGCAGCAAGACGTCTACGTCACCATCCTTGAGTGGACGGTAAAAAATCAATAAACCAGTGAATCAGATTTGTCTTAACTTGCGGTTTAATATTGGGATGAGAATGTGTATTCTATCGACAAAACAAACCCACAAATTTCATAGGATGAAACGAAAGTGTTTTTTTTATTGGTTGATGGAATAACATTCAGATCATTTTCGCAGCGCATTGCGTTTGCTCAGGGGGTATATTCAGTAATTCAGCCTAATGTATATATATATATATATATATATATATATATATATATATATATATATATATATATGAAAGAAACTACTACTGGTAAATAGACACATCTAATCAAGCATGGTGTTGCAGACGTTACGAACTAAGGTTACCCCGGGCAATTTACTATGTATACCACAGTACGTTGTGTCGTCGGAAGCGCTGTCCCAGCACAAACGGTGAAGCGCTGTCCCAGCACAAACGGTGTAGAAGACGCCGAACTGCAGCGTCAATGTACCACAGTATCTATAGAATCTATGTTTACACAAACGTAGCATACTTGGTCAACGTACCTGTACACATGACTACAGCTACTATAACATCAAAGCAAAAAAACAACAACAGAGCATGTATTCGCATACTTACAATCCACTCATCAGCTGCGGGTAAAACACCAACTATACTGAAAAAATGTGCACC